CTGATTTTGTATTTTCTCCCCCAGTGTGGCACGCGATGATAGCCTTCCCAAATTAGCCATGACTCCCTGTGGGCAATGGCCATGTCAAACCCGCTGTTTCCGTTTCCCCACAGTGGTGATGACCAAGCAGGCACTGACTAACAATGGTTGACTATTTGGGGGAATGACATCTAGATGATTACATATCAAAGTCATTTGTTATCTCACAGAGCGATCAATGATAACATCTGTAAGGTGTTGAGTAAGTGTTTTACATGCATTACAAATGCCACTGTCTTCTTTGGGTTATCAGAATTCTCTAAGATCCTTATGTCCTGACAGTTTGGACAAGAATATGTTTTGACTACAGCTTCATTGAATTATTTTAATAGGATGGAAGCTTTTCCCATTACTGTTACACTCCACCGCCATCTACTGTTCATATAATAAAGCAACATACTGTACTCAATCCCCTACTTCACCTTTATGCTCCATTCCTTACAAGGGAATTTTTGTTTTCCTCAGATCTCAAGAGCTTTCTACGCTTTGAGCTTCAACACAAGTAGATGAAATTTTTAAATCATTTTGTTACAATAATCCAGCATGCTATTGACAATTTTCTTTCATGGGCAAAAAAGTTCCTGGTGTTACAGAAAAGTAAACATTTTAAACTTAATGAAACCATGTCGTCATGTGCCCACCCTCCACATAAAGCAACCAAAAGAAAAAGGTAATGGAATTACTGAAAAATGCATCCCCACCTCTAGCAGGTGTCACTAAATTGGATATCTCTGTCAGCTACTTTCCATTCAGAGTATAAAGCTCATCCTTCAAGGTCCTGTTTTCAAAAGATATCTTCTCCATGAAACCTTCCCTGATTCTTCACTCTGGAATTAAATTCTTCCTTCCACAACTGGTAATTGTTATAATGATCTACATAAAGGAAAAAAGTCAAAAATTCCAGTTTTAAAAAAATAGCTTCACAAATTATCCCCCTCATCTTCCCTACTCTGTTGGTTCCTGTTTTTAGACTGGACTCTCAGGTGTAACAATATCATTGGTACGGGTGGAGAGTCTTGACCACAAATCACCTAGGTTCTTAGCATTCAAACAAAGAATTGGACAAACTCACAAAGCAACAAAAGAACGAAGCAACAAAAGCCAAAGGCATAGATTTATTGAAACAAAAGTACACTCCACAGAGTGGGGGCAAGCTCAAGCAAATGGCTCAAGAGTGCTGGTTACAGGATTTTCTCAGGTATAATTTTTTTTTTTTTTAGGTGGAGTCTTCTTGCTCTGTCACCCAGGCTAGAGTGCAGTCATGCAATCTCCGCTTACTGCAACCTCCAGCCCCCAAGTTCAAGCAATTCTCCTGCCTCAGCCTCTCCAGTAGCCTTCCAGCTAATTTTTGTATTTTTAGTAGTGATGAGGTTTCACCATGTTGGTCAAGCTAGTCTGGAACGCCTGACCTCTTGATCCACCCGCCTCAGCCTCCAAAAGTGCTGTGATTACAGGCGTGAGCCACCGTGCAGGCCTGGGGTTTAAATACCGTCTAGTCTAGAAGTTTCCCATTGGTTACTTGGTTACACTCTATGTAAATGAAGAAGTGACCCTTAACAAGTCTGATTGGTCATGGGAGGTGACCAATCGGAGACTGAAGTGAAGTTACAAAGTTACACAACAAGATTTGTCTTGCAACCCGTCTGATTAATTGCAGGAGGGAACAAATCAGAGGTATTTTCCATTTTTCATCTGCAATGCAGTGCAAAGGGAGTAGCCTCTGATTCTTTTGCTATTTCAATATGGAGAGGTGGGGTTTCCCTTATGATTCAGTTATAGGAAGTAGGTAAGAATTGGCCTTAGGTTCCAGACCCTGTTCTCCTGCCTCATTTCCCCTCTGTGAGACACAATCCCCATAAATCTTGATGGGAGGCAGAGGGACCACTGGTCTTTCTTCTATAACTACTTCACGCTGACTTGGGGTGTGTTCCCTGACTATTTGAGATTACGGAACTCTCACCCGGCTCTGTCTAGTGGAGACAGGGCAGCTTCTTGATGGCCAGGGGTGGTGTCTTCACCTGGATCTGGCTGGAAACCTTGTTGCATGATTATCTGAAGCTTGATGGTCTCTAGGCCAGAGGAAATAAATTTGGTTAACTGATTTAACAAACGTGGTCCAAAAACCAAGGCAAGTATAATCATTAATAACTAGCCAGCCAGCGGAAGGAGCCATCAACTCCTACTAAGCATTTTTGCCCAGGAGGCCCATGACTCAGATGGCTGTTGTCATATCTTAGAAGCCTGGTCAGCTAATTTCCCTGTGGCATTCTTTATTAATCCGAATTGGTTGACATAAAAACATCATTCTTCCTCTAGAAAAAGACTTGAGTTGCCTTTTCCAGCAGTTAGGAGATCCAGGCCCCTTCTATTTTGTAAAGCAACTGCTGCCAAGGAGTCTGATTTTGTATGGTGACGAAACTTTGGGCAATGTCATCCAAGCTTTCCACAAAATCCTTGGACAAGTGTCGGTAACAGGATAGGGAAGTTGCAAGCCCGCTAACTCCCATTCCTACTCCCACTGTTATTCCTAGTCTGACCAAAAGGCATGTGAGTTGGATGGCTCCTTTGTGCCTGGTGGTTGGAGTTAAAGGTATAACGAGTAATGAGCGATCAGTTGTTGGGACCTACATATATATATGTATATATATTTTGAGACAGAGTCTCTCTCTGTCACCCAGGCTGGAGTGCAGTGGCGCAATGTTGGCTCACTGCAACCTCTGTCTTCTGGGTTCAAGCAATTCTCCTGTCTCAGCTTCCGGAGTAGCTGGGATTACAGGCGTGTGCCACCATGCCCGGCTTATTTTTTCTATTTCTAGTAGAGATGGGTTTTTACCACGTTGGCCAGGCTGGTCTCAAACTCCTGACCTCAGGTGATCCACCCACCTCGGCCTCCCAAAGTGCTGAGATTATAGGCGTGAGCCACTGCTCCCGGGTGGGAGCTACATTGATTTCAGAGGCTAAAAACCAAGTGTGCAGGTTCCAGTCCAACTGGCTGGTAAACATGGTAGGATCTGATGCCGCAGAGGGAAAAGCCTCCTTGTTCTTCAAGACAAAAATGGTTTTCCATGGTGAACATGTGGGATAGCTTGTTTTCACTTTCCCAAGTGACTAAGGTCCCTGCTAAAGTGGCCAAGGGAAAATGTGAACCCAGTTAGTGGGCCCACCTTCACAGTACTCAGACTGTGTAAGAAGTACCCTCAGCTAGGAATAGCTTCCACGAAAAGCATACAGGTTTTCTCGATGATGCAGTTTCGTTAACTGCATAACTTACGTGACAGTGTGAGGGTTGATTTCTAGGATGTGGTTGCACTGATGACTTCAAGGTTCCCAGGGCCTGACCAGAATTTTGGCTTCTTTCAGTACAAAGTGGCATCTGGAATTTTAGCTCTGTGTTTGTTTACATTGGGGCCCTAATGGGTTTCTGTGGGAATGCAACCTCAAAAAGGCTGTTCTGATAGAACTGGAGAAGGTTTACTGCTCATCCTGTCATTTTAACCTTTGTCATTTCTATACTTTAGAATTCTTATAAGTCGTCCAGATTCATTAATTCAAAGAGAGTTCCTCCCTGGTAGTTGAAATGATAGGTCATTTTTTCAAGGGCCCAAGTACGAGCTGGGATTAGGATGGCAGTGTATCTGGAGGAAGGTGGAGATAAACAAAGCCAACAGTCCTTTGCCAGAGCTGGGCTGGTGGCATTTAACGGTCTTTGCATTAAATTTGAAGTTCTTAATAAATACCCAGAATCGATTAATTGCAGGAGGGGTAAAGTGAAGCTCTGTTGTAAAATAAAGCTGACTTCCAGTATTCATGGTCCCAGTATACACTTGGCTGTGGGGGACCATTATGGAACAAAAAAATACTTATTTGCAATTTTGTACTATAGAATGGGAACTTCAGGGGGTGGATACCTATGCTGTCAGGAATGCTCATTATAAAAATGAATTAAAACACTTTACGTATTACAAAGGAAGTGATTCCATCCATTTGGATGAAAGCAATTAAACTGTGAAACTATAAAAAATAGCTATTATTATCCAGTCTGAAGTAACTATGCAATAACGCCACCAAGGGAAGTTAGCAAGCATTTATTTATGTCACTTCAAACAATTCTACAAAGTGTTTTATTTTGAGAAGGGAACATTTTAAGAAGGGCAAAATAAAAAGCATGGGCAAGTGTTGGAATGACCTGATGAGGTTGTGGCAATTTACTTCGTGAATTCCGTGAGATTTTGTTCAACTTGGTGGGCTTAGGTACTAGATGGTGAGGATTTCAAAGTCAATGGAGGCACGGCAGAGCAGCACTCAAACATATTGCTCTTCCATGTCCTATTTTTGAATAAAAATGTCAGTTTCAAGTGGGCGGTGGGAAAGGAACAAGCAAAGGAGTCATTATTTGGATACATGTTTGGCGTAATGAGGGCGTCTGACGGGGAGGCTGTGCGGTGGTGACCGATGCGCTGGGTCTCATAGCTGCAGACTGAAGCCGAGGCTCCGCAGCAGAGCAACTGGGTGGCCTCCAGCATGCCAAGTAACTTTTCTGTTCATTGCATCCACAGCTCCTTGGCTTCCTTTCTCAGGTATTCCTGTTTTTCTTTCTTTCTTTCTTTCTTTTTTTTTTTTTTTGAGACAAGAGTTTCACTCTTGTTGCCCAGGCTGGAGTGCAATGGCGCGATCTCGGCTCACCGCAACCTCCGCCTCCTGGGTTCAGGCAATTCTCCTGCCTCAGCCTCCTGAGTAGCTGGGATTACAGGCATGCACCACCACGCCCAGCTAATGTTTTGTATTTTTAGTAGAGACGGGGTTTCACCATGTTGACCAGGATGGTCTCGATCTCTTGACCTCGTGATCCACCCGCCTCGGCCTCCCAAAGTGCTGGGATTACAGGCTTGAGCCACCGCGCCCAGCTCCTGTTTTTCCTTTTCTCTCCAGGTCACACGTCGTGGCGCGGCGCTCTCGGGGAGCCTGTGGAGCGACCCCGTGTCCCTCCCTGACCCCTGGAGGATTCCCCAAGGTCACAGTCACCCCCTCCATCCCAGACTTCCCATCTCTTCATGGCTAACGCATAACAATCGTCACAATTAACAGCAGCCCCACACTCTGAAGCGCTTCTGGAAGGGAGCTCTACTCAAGAAGAGGGAGACGAGACAGGGACCTCCCCGCGCCGTCCTTTCTTCCTCGGTCTCTGCTGCTGAGGACTATTTATAGGTGGGTGACAAGGGCGGCGGGAGGGCGTGAAGGCAAAAGACAAGCTTTTTTTTCTCGTAGGAACTCAAATCTTCCGTTCCGGCTGTGTTTCCGGAGGCATTTCCAGAGTACCTAGAGGGGAGCGACTTCCGGCTGCGACCGCGTCTTCCGAGTTTTGAGATCGGCTGCTTCCGCCCGGAGTTGCTGTGAGCTCCAGCAGCAAGTAGCCACTTCCGCCAGGAGTCCCTAGCGGCCAGGGCGTGGAAGCGGGTCCCGACGCGGCATCCTCCTTCTTCCCTCTGCCTGCCCACGCGGGACGGGGTCCCCAGCGGCAGTGGCGGTGCCTGGGCCTGTGGAAAGGCGTTCTCTGTGGCCGAGTCCTGGGCCTGGCGGACCGGGCGGTGCGAGAGAGGCGCCCGGGCCTAGCCCAGCCCCACCTGCTGTCTCCCGCGGCCGGTGCCGGCGGCTGCAGGCCTCGCCGCGCCCACCCTTTCTGGGGCGGGCCCAACCTCACCGCCCGGCCGGCCCCGCCCCACGGGCCAGCCCCGCGCCGGGTAGTTCCGCTTCTCTCCCTGCGGCGGGGTAACCGCCTCGCACCTCCCGGGCTCGCCTTCCTGGCTCCGGCCGCGGGGGGAGCATGGAGTTTGCGGAGCTGATTAAGACCCCGCGGGTGGACAATGTGGTGCTGCACCGGCCTTTCTACCCGGCCGTCGAGGGCACCCTGTGCCTGACGGGCCACCACCTCATCCTGTCCTCCCGGCAGGACAACACGGAGGAGCTGTGGCTCCTCCATTCAAACATCGACGCCATCGACAAGCGGTGAGTGCCGGTCCCACCCCAGCTCCGCAGGGGACCGGGGGGTCCCCCGTGGGCGCCCCGGGGAACGCTTCCTGGCGTTTTCAGCCCATCCTGCCGCCCAGCTGGCAGGAAAGACGAGCCAGCCCTCTGTGGCCTAGAATCAGGAATTGAGTTTCACCAAGCAGAAAGCTGTCCGGATGGAAGACCCGGTTTCCATTAAACCTGGATGGAGTTTTCAGATGATCATTTCTGGTTCTTAACACCATTTGGGTGGATTTTCGGCATTGCCTTTATACATTTCTTCTTGCCCGGTCGTGTTCCTTGAATCGGTATTGTCCATTGCTGTTCATGAAGTTGTGGCTGGATGTGATTTAGGTAAAGTCTTTACCATTTTTGAGGAAAACGCAACCGATTGCAAAGCTATGAGTGTTCACATACCACAGAACCATTTTTATATTGCTGAAAAATGTTCAGTTTATCATGTTTCTTCTGGGTCATCAATTTCATTCTCACTAAGGGAGATTCTGATGTCTTTATTCCCTTCATCTTTACCTAGTTCTGTTTGCTGAAAGAACAGGATTGGCTCTCAAGGAAAGGCAGGGCCAATTAACCTCTTTATCCTTTTTTGCACTCCAGACTTTATCTTTCCAAGGGAGTTCCTCGAATTAAAAAAGTTATACTTTCATCTGTAGTCAAAATTCCCGTCTCCCTAGTGGCTTCTCCCTAGTCAGGAGAGGGCAAACTGATGATCCAGTTTACACTGAAGGATAAATGCATGATAACAATGTTTCTGTTGCCTCACAGGAGAATTTGGGTATTAGGAAGATTCCTAGAGACGGTATGCCTTAAAATAATAATTTCTTTTCTTCTTTTCTTCTTCTTTTTTTTTCTTTCTGAGGCATAGTCTAGCTCTGTTGCCCGGGCTGGAGTGCAGTGGCATAATCTTGGCCCACTGCAACCTGTACCTCCCGGTATCCAGCAATTCTCCTGCCTCAGCTTCCGGAGTAGCTGCGGTTACAGGTGCGCGCCACCATGGCTGGCTAAATTTTGTAGTTTTTAGTAGAGATGGGGTTTCACCATATTGGCCTAGCTGGTCTGGAACTCTTGGCCTGGTCATCCGCCTGCGTTGGCCTCCGACAGTGCTGGGATTACAGGCATGAGCCACTGTGCCAGGCCTAAAATAATAATTTCTAATGATAGAATTGCAAGCAGTTTGGGTGAAGCAGTGGTGGATTCAGTGATTGATTTGTGCTCTTATTGACCACAAATTGATTGAGGCTCTTATTAGTCTCAAGTCAACTTTTGCTGTATAAAGTCTTAAGCGGGCCAGGCACGGTGGCTCACGCCTGTAATCCCAGCACTTTGGGAGACCAAGGCTGGCAGATCACCTGAGCTCAGGAGTTAGAGACCAACTTGGACAAAATGATGAAACTCCATGTCTACTAAAAATACCAAAAATTGGTCAGGCATGGTGGGGGCGCCTGTAATTTCAGCTACTCAGGAGGCTGAGGCAGAAACATCGGTTGAACCTGGGAGGTGGAGGTTGCAGTGAGCTGAGATTCCGCCACTGCACTTCAGCCTAGGCGACGAAAGCGAAATTCCATCTTAAAAAAAAAGGCCTTGAGTGGACTCTCATTGAAAATCTGAACCCTCGGTCATTCATGGCATTCCGTGTCCTGGCCCTGAACTACTTTCTCACTTTATTTCTTGCCATTTCTTTTAACGAGCCTGTCTTGCACTTCCTTCCATGAACCCCTTTTTTACCAGCCAGTCCTCACCATTTACTGGTGCTTGTGTATGTCCTGTATTCTGTCATCTGTGTATTTTATTGACTTCCTTCCACGGGAATGTCTCTCTTCTCCCAAGTTTGTTAAACATTCGCCAAATGCCTTTATGTTCTGGACATTTTGTGAGGCCTTTAGAACACTGAGATGAGTAAAATATATTACAGCTCTTATCTTTCAGGAGTTCACAGGCAATGAGCTTGTTACCCATCTATGAGTATTCGGTTTAACTGTTTCGTCCTCCACCTCCTTCACAGATTCTTCTGTTAATTCCGCAACTGGACTTCATTTTTATCTCCTTTGAAACTTCTAACTGTGACTTGGGCATACAGCTACATAGGAAATAAAGGGTTGACCACCGAATGGTCAGCAATGCCACCGAATACAAATTAGTAGCCTCTCCATGACCATCAACTGTCTTTTCTTTCTGATTTACCTTTTATGATGGTTACTGTTCATTCATTCGTTTCCTCCTGTTTACCTTGCATTTACAAGGTGCTGGGCCTTGTAGTGCATGAAGAAGAAGGCAGATGAGATGTTAACCTTTGACGTAGGAGAGAATGATTAACTGTACACACATTTATCCTTTTCCTGGGAAGCAGTGCAGTGTAGTGGAAAGAGCATTGGGGAGGGATCAGATCAGAGTTTGTTAAATTTGTGCTTTAAAGAAATCTTGACATCCATCTGTTTTCCATGTGCGCTGTCTGAGCTGTGCGGCTTCAGTGGTAGCTAAGACAAGATGCTTAGGTACTGGCCGGGGAGATGGACAATCCAGTAAGTCCAGACATAAATAAGTATGATGATGTCAGGTAATAAGTGCTAGGAAGGACAGTAATAGAAGAAGAGAGGACAGAGAGCACCGGGAAGCAGTGTCTTTAGAAAGGATTTCAGAGAAGACAGGTGACGTCTGACTAGAGACCGGAATGAAATGAGGATGCTAGAAATAAGAGTATCTGGAGGAAGAGCATTCCAGCCGGAGGGAACAGTGAATGCAAGGACTTGAGATGGGGAACATGCTTGGCATGTGCAGAGAGGAACAAAGAGGCCAGCGTGGCTGCAGGGCAGGAAATAGAGGGTAGGGGAAGTCTGTGGTAGAGCCGTTGGCTGGAGGGATAAGCAGTGGCTAGACCCTGGAGAGCCTGCAGGCCACTGTAGTGGTTTCAGTGGGAGCCCTTGAAGAGGTGAAAGCTAGGAAGCAACAGCTGATAGATGTTTTAGAAGATGATTCTGGCTGCTGGCAGAAAATACACCGCACAGGGGCAAGAGCGGAAGCAGCAGGCCCAGTTAGAGTAGAGTAGTTCACATAAAAGGTGATGGTGGGCTGGGCTGGGCGTGGTGGCTCATGCCTGTAATCCCAGCACTGTGAGAGGCTGAGGCGGCCAGATCAGCTGAGGTCAGGAGTTCGAGACCAGCCTGGCCAATATGGTTAAACCTTATCTATGAAAAATACAAAAAATAGCTGGGCGTGGTGGTACACGCCTGTAATCCCAGTTACTCAGGTGGCTGCAGCAGGAAAATTGCTTGAGCCCAGAAGGCAGATGTTGCAGTGAGCCGAGATCATGCCACTGCACTCCAGCCTGGGTGACAGAGCCAGACTCCGTCTTAAAAAACAAACAAACAAACAAACAAACAAACAAACAAACAATAGTGTAGTCACAAGGAATCTGATTTGGGATGTGTTTTTGAAGGTTGAGCTGCCTTGCCTTGCTGGTGAATTGTAAATGAGGTGAGAGAGAAAGTCGTTAAGGATGACTCCTTCAGTTCTGCCTCTTACTACATAAGTGCCTTTGGGCAAGTTACTCAACCTCTCTGAACCTTGTAGAAAGTTGTGTTCAATAATGCTTTACGAGTCTGTGGAATATGTTCATATACATTGCTAACATCATTTTATTTGATCCTTTCAACATACAAGGTTGCACACAAGTTTTACAGTTATACCTGTTTTTTCTAATGGACCTCAGAAAATTGAGTTAATTCTACTCAGTTGATGACTCATCATTTTCATGGTTGATTCCTTAAAAGGTTTCCTCTGTTTTTTATTTTCTTCATCCATAAGTTTCACTCCCATTTCCTGCCTTACCCACAATCCCTGTAGGCAACCATTTTAGTTGTGTATGGGTGTGTGCACACATGCATGTGTGAGTTTAATTTGCCTAACAGGGAGTATGTTGTAGATCTTGTTCTGCTCCTATGTTGATTCAGTACTCTTTCAAGGTCTCTTTCTATTGCTGTGTGTACAACCATTTCACTGCTTCTGACAGTAGCATAGAATTCCAGAGTATCTAAAAAGCTTACTTAACAGATCTTTCAGGTAACCTCCAACTCCCTGCTGTCACAGACAGCTCTGTTAAACATACTCATTCATGTCCCCTTATGTAGTCTTATGCCGTAATTCCTCCAAGACTGCGCCTAGGATGGGACTGAGCCATAAAGCAGGTGTATAACTCATTTCACAAACGAATTGCTTTCCAGAATGATGATTGCAGATTGCCTTCCCATTATGGTGCAGGAAAGGTACCTCTTCTCCACTTTCTTACCAACATTTGGTATTGTCTTTCTAATTTTTCCAGTCTGAAGATTGTGAAATAATTATTGCTTTACTTTCATTTGAATTTTACTAATTATTAGTGAGTTTACTTATATATGCTTGTGAGGAATATACTTAATTTTTTTTTTTCCTTTCTGTGAATGGCCTAATTTCTGTGGGCTTCTTATAAACATTGGGTTTATTGTCTTTCTCATGTTGATTTGTGGGTTACTTGTGTACTCTGTGGGTACTCATCTTCATTTAGGCATTATGAATGTCTTCTCCTCGTTTGTCATTCATCCGTTACTTTATCTGTGATGTCCTTTGTTGAACAGAAGTCTTTCATTTTAATGCAAAACTTGCCAATGTTTTGCTTTGTGATGTGTGGTTTGTCTTAAGAACTCCTTCCCCGCCCCAAATCACCAGGATGTTCTCCTACACTTTCTTCCACAGTAGCTTCATAGTTTTACTGTTTATTTTTAGGTCTTTAATTCATTTGGATTCTATCTTTGTTTCAAGTATGATAGGAACCAATTTTTCTCCGTAGAGCAAGGAAGCCAGTTTTCTTAATCCCATCACCTGACATCCCAGCCTTGGCTAATTTATATCAAGTTATCCTTATGTACGGGTCTATTTCTGAGTTCTTTGTCATAATCTGTTGGTTCACTCATCTGTTCTTTAGTCGTCATCCTATTTTCTTCTATGGCTTTGTGATATATCCAAAAATCAAATAGTGCTAGTTGTCCCGCTTTCCTTTTTTTTTTTTTTTTTTTTAAAGTTGACAACACTGTTTTGACCCTTCGGTTTCCATGCAGTTTTGGAAAACTTCATGGGATTTTAAAGTCTATTCATGGGATTTTAAAAAGTCTTTAATAATAATTGAAGATTCACAGGCCGTTGCAAAAAATCGTGCATGGAGGTTTGGGAATCTTCTACCCAGCTTCCCCGAATGGTGACATGTTTTATGACTGTAGTATTATCAAAATTAGGATTCTGACATTGGTGCAGTGCTGCTCACTAGACCACAGACTTTATACAGGTTTCGTAGGATTTTAAAAAAATGAACTGTTTCGGATTTATAGATTGATTGGAGTCAAATTGACATGGTACATTATTTAGATCCTCCTTTAAGTCCCTTCATGGAGCTTTAAGATTGTGTATATGCTGGGTGCTGTACTAGGAGCTGGGGCTGTAGAAATTAATCAAACATGGCTTCTACCTGAAAATAACTAAGAGCCGTTATAAGAAATAAACATATAAGCTAGAAAGTTTAATAAAGTATTTTAAATGCTCTGATAGGCGTATATACAGGGCATGGATGGGACAGTAAGGAGAAAATGATAAAATAGAACTCAATCTGACAACTGATGCGAACCATAGGAATTTTGTGGAGGGAGCTCTTACGCTTTTAAAATATATTTTTCATGGCCTACTGTTCTACAAGTAATAGTAATTGACTAGAAACATTGAATAAATGGAGAATACTTTGATAGTTTATAGCATATTTGTTCTGATATAAGGTAACAATTATTTTTAACTCCTAGTCATTCACTATACTTTATAACAACTAAGTAAAACCTGCAAGACTAACGAAACAAAATTCACTTTACAAAATGAGTTAGAATGACAAGAGAAGATGATGTGAAAATTTTCAAAAGAATAACCGTATGTCTTGTACATTAATTTTTTCTTTTTTTTTTTAACTGATAATTTGGTTATGTGTCTTTCACTTCCAGCTCAGGCAGAGTGACAGTGATTTTTGAAACAGCTTTATTTAAGTACAGTCGACATATAACACTAAACATATTTGAAGTGTAAACTTTGATGTGTTTTGACGTATGTGCACATGCTGATACTGTCGCCATAAGTTCAAGATAATGAATTTATCACCCCCAAAAGTTTTCTGGCCCTTTCATAAACCCTTCCTTCTTTTCCAAGTAGTCACAGTTGAGTTTGCATTATCTAGAAATTTATGTCAATACAACATAAATCATGCAGTACTCTCTTTTGAGGTTTGTCCATGTGGTATATATTAATAGTTTATTCTTATTGCTGAGTACGAGTCCACTGTATAGTACTCCATAGTTCATTTATTCATCTGGTGACGGAAATGTGGGTTGTTTGTAGTTTGAGGCTGTTAAATGCAGCTGTTTTTCACATTCTTATGCAAGTCTCTGTATGAACGTGGGGTTTCTTTTCTCTTGGGTGGCAAGCCATTTACTTGCCAGTGGAATGGCTGGATCAGATGTGGGTATATGTTTTACTTTTTAAGAAGCTGCCCAAACTCTTTTCCAAAGTGCTTGTATTTACAGTTTTATATTCCTATGAGCCGTGTGTGAGAGTTCTAGTTCTTCCACATTCTTGTCCTCACTTGCTGTGGTCTGTCTTTTACATTTTAGCCGTACCAATAATGTTAAGTGATATCTTACTGTGGTTTAACTTTGCATTTCCCTGATGACTAATGGTGTAGGGCATCTTTTCCTGTGCTTATTTGCCATCCATATGTCTCTTTTTTTTTATTTGCTAAGTGACCGTTCCTATGTTTTGCCCATTGTAATGAATAATTTGCTTTCTTATTAAGTTTTGAGAGTGTAGGTTTGTATATACATATAGTCATGTGATTTATTATGTATATGATGGTAGTCCCATAAGACTGTAATGGACCTGAAAAGCTTCTTTTGCCCAGTGACATTGTGTTTGTGGTGATGTTGGTATAAACAAACTGGGGGTGCTGGTCGTTTATGTATGCTATATTATATGTACAGTATAGCACATACAATGGCATACATCACATAATATTTATAAATGACCATGAACAACTTTGTTACTGGTTTATGTATTTACTGCATTATAATTTTTATTGTTATTTTAGACTGTACTCCTTTTACTTCTTGAGGAATGTTCACTGTAAAACAGAGTCAGGCATGTCCGTCGAGAGTTACCCAGAAGGCATTGTCATCATAGGAGATGACAGCTCCAGGCATGTTATTAATATTTCCCCTGAAGACTTCCCAGTAGGGCAAGATGTGGAGGTGGAAGACAGTGATATCGATGGTCCTGACCCTGTGTAGGCCTAGGCTAATGTGTGTGTTTGTGTCTAAGGTTTTAACAAGAAAGATTGCCAAACTTTTTTAATTGAAAAAAGCTTATAGAATGAGGATATAAAGAAGGAAAATATTTTTGTACAGCTGTATAGTGTGTATGTATTTTCAGCCTACTGTGATTACAAAAGAGACAAAAAGTTAAGAGATTAAAAAGTTTATAAAGTAAAAAAGTTACAGTAAAGTTAATTTATTGGTGAAGGAAGAAACATTTTAGCAATAAATGTAGTGTAGCCTGTTGAGGAGCTCCTCAGCAGCCTACCGGAATGCCCTGTGGCTTAACCTTTTCATGCCCTTTAACTCTGTCCTTCAAGCAGTTGTTTTGCCTTTTTAAGATGTCCAATTTGTCAGTTTGTTCTTGTAGAGATTGGGATTTTAGTGTCTTACCTAAGAAACCATTTTCTCATCTAAGGTCACAATATTTTCTCTCATGTTTTCTTCTAGCAGTTTTATAACTTTAGGTTTCACATTTTGGTAAACGATCCCATTTTGAGTTAGTTTTCGTATATGGTTCATGACAGAGATTCAAATTCTTTAAAAAAAAAAAAAAAAAAGGTTATCCAATTGTTCCAGCACCATTTGTTAAAAAGACTGACCTGTCTTAAATGAAATGTCTTTCTGTCTTTGTTCACGTGTAAGTGGATTTGTTTCTGGACTCTTTTTTTTCTGTTCAGTTGGTCTGTTTATCATCATGTCATTATCACACTGTCTTAATTACTATAGCTTTATAGTAAGCCTTGAGATTATGTAGCGTTAGCCATCCAACTTTGTTCTTATTCATAGTTGTTTTGGCTGTTTGAAGACATTTGCATTTCTTTATGAATTTTAGAAACACTTTTTGAGTTTCTACATAAAAGTCTGCTGTGATTTTGTTTGGAATTACGTTGTATCACTAGATGAATTTGGGAGAAAATTGACAATAAAAGGAAAATTCTGGGTACATTACACAATCATCATCTGCAAGTAAAGACAGTTTTACTTCTTCCTCTTCAATCTATTTTTATTCTTTTTACCTTACTGCACTAGCTATAACCTTCAGTAGTACAATGGTGAATAGAAGTGGTGAGAGTGAACATCTTGGTGTTACTCATGATTTTAGAGAGAAATAATTCAGTCATTCACCATTAAGTGTGCTATTTAGGGTTTTCTGTTTTTGTTTTTGTTTTTTGTAAATGCCTTTATCAGGTTGAGAAAGTTCCCTTCCGTTCCAAGTTTGCTGAGCAATTTTTGGTTTTTCATGTTTTTAAATCAGAAATGGATGTTAGATTTTGTCAAATATATTACTTTTTATAAATTGATACATAGTATGTATCACTTGGAAGTAAATAAAATCTGAAATGAACTATTTTCCTATGCTCCGGAAATACCTCTCTACAAGCACTTAATATATTAGTTACAGGTCTTTTTCCTCTTCTTTGAAATAAGGCCCCAAATAATCTCCATCAAAACAATTAGCCTAATGTGAATTACTTTATATATTTGAAATTTAAAAAATATATGTAGTAAGTAATGTATGGCTCACGTTTTAATGATGTAGTCTTGCTTCTTCCTTGATTAGAGTAATTGAGAAGAAAGTTAATATAGTTAGTAACTACAACTCCATCCTCTTTTCAAATAAATGATAATATATTTAAAGTTAGTAACATATGTGTTCCTAAATGTGATTTGCAATTTCTTACAGATTTGTGGGATCACTGGGTACCATCATCATAAAATGTAAAGATTTTCGAATTATTCAGTTAGATATTCCTGGAATGGAGGAATGCTTGAATATAGCCAGTTCCATTGAGGTAAGTATTTTGGAAGCAAAATCTAATGAAACGTAATTTTATACTATGACTCAGTATAGCTCTTACATTTCTTCATTAGATAATTTAGTCATGTTCTCTGACTCAAGTACTGAAGACTGATAGGAAAAACCTCACCCTGGTTCATTGTTATATGAATGTAATCGGGCTTTCTTGACTTCCAGCAGTGTCTGGTGTTACTCATTTTATATGAATAGCCCCAGTTCCATGAATTGCTTGGGATTCCATGGAATTGCATTTCCAGTGGCTTCATAGAATTTCCTTGAGTTCGTATTGGTTAAATAACAGATACCGTTTCACTTGAGTGTATGAGTTCTTATTTGGGGAAACCATCAGAAGATTTAGTGAAGAGATTCTTGGGAGAAATTTGAAAGTTGTGCTTGATATTTCATGTTCACTGTGCAAATCTTGGTACTTTCTCTGTGCCTAAGACCGTAAACTTTTTTTTCTTTTCTTTACTTGAGGTTTGTTCGACTAAAATCTTATATGAAATTCTAAATCAATAAAATAGATACAGTTAGAATTGCTTTTGGTCAGCTGGGTGCCATGGCTGACTCCTGTAATCCCAGCACTTTGGGAGGCTGAGGCAGGCAGATCACCTGAGGTCAGGAGTTCAAGACCAACCTGGCTAACATGATGAAACCCCCGTTTCTACTAAAAATATAAAAAGTTATCCAGATGTGGTGGCACGTGTCTGTAATCCCAGCTACTTGAGAGACTGAGGCAGGAGAATCTTTTGAACCCAGGAAGCAGAGGCTGCAGTGAGCCGAGATTACGCCATTGCACTCCAGCTTGGGCAACAAGAGCAAAACCCTGTCTCAAAAAAAAAAAAAAAAGAATTGCTTTTGGTGACATTACATTGAGTATGTATGGATTTAGAGACCTAGAAGCCCTTATTGACTCGACTATTCCCACCTGCCCTCTGAGGACTTCCTTAGAGACACTGCAAACCTCTAGTGAGTTAACCATTGCACCGTTCACTTCTCTGCCAGGTTAGCTGCTACAAGTGGAAGGGTTTCTTCTTGAATACACTAGTACATCTTTTGTAATTAATGCAATCCTAAAAATTTGAATAGAAATATTAATAAATTACAATATTATTCTACATTATCACATATATATACATTATTACATGTATTAATATGTTATTGAATCATAGCACAGTTTTACTCTTCATTTTACCACTTGGTAGCCTGTGACCATTGGTAAAGTACTTAACATTTCTCTGATTTGTTTTATACTTTGTATAAAACAAGGATAATAGTACCTATCTTTTAGGGCTGTTTTAAGAATTTTATTAGTTGATGTGTATAGAATGCTTAGTATAATACTTGGTAAATAGCAGTTACCATTTGAGGGTCCTCTGTCATTATTTAGTATAATTTTATGGTGACACTTTTTTTAAAAACTGTGGTTAGGCCGGGTGCGGTGGCTCACGCCTGTAATCCCGGCACTTTTGGAGACCAAGGAGGGTGGATCACGAGGTCAAGAGATCAAGACCATCCTGGCCAACATGGTGAAACCCTGTCTCTACTAAAAATTCAAAAATTAGCCGGGCGTTTGGCACGCGCCTGTAGTCCCAGCTACTTGGGAGGCTGAGGTGGAAGAATTGCTTGAACCCAGGAGGCGGAGTTTGCAGTGAGCTGAGATTGCGCCACTGTGCTCCAGCCTGGCAACAGAGCAAGACTCCGTCTCAAAAAAAAAAAAGAAAGAAAAAAAGAAAAAGAAAAAAACAAAAACAAACAAAAAAACCGTGGTTAGGAAATACCTCTAACGTAAGATTTACAGTCTTAACCATTTTGAAGTGTACAGTTTAGTAGTGTATAATAACTTCATTCACATTGTTGTGCCACAGATCTCCAGGACTTTTTCATCTTGCAAAACCGAAACTCTGTGTTAAACAACACATTTGCCCCTCTCTTCAGCCCCTGATAACCCCTATTCTACCTTGTTTCTCTGAATTTGATTACTTTAGATATCTCATATAAATAGAATCAAAGTCATTGTCTTTTTGTGACTTGTTTCCACTGTTATGGATCTATCTGGTGAGACTTTTAAAAAATTCTTTCTTTTCTTTTTCCATGTGTGTGTATATATATAATTGCACTTTAGGTTCTAGGTACATGTACAGAACATGCAGGATTGTTGCATAGCTACACACATGGCAATGTGGTTTGCTGCCTCCATCCCTGTCACCTATATCTGGCATTTTTTCCCATGTTATCCCTCCCCAACTACCTATACCTTGCTGTCCCTCCCAAGTCCCCCCAACAGACCCCAGTGTGATGCGCCCCTGCCTGCGTTCATGTGTTGTCATTGTTCAACACCCGCTTGTGAGTGAGAACATGTGGTGTTTGATTTTCTGTTCTTGTATCAGTTTGCTGAGAATGATGGTTTCTAGATTCATTTATGTCCATGCAAAGGACACGGACTTACTGTTTTTCATGGCTGCATGGTATTCCATGGTGTTTATGTGCCACATTTTCCCTGTCCAGTCTATCATTGAAGGACATTTAGGTTTGTTCCCGGTCTTTCATAGTGTAAACAGTGCCACAATGAACATACATGTGCATGTGTCTTTATAATAGAACAATTTATAATCCTTTGGATATATGCCCAGTAATGGGATTGCTGGGTCAAATGCAATTTCTCTTTCTAGGTCCTTGGGAGATTGTCATACTGTCTTCCACAATGGTTGAACTAATTTACACTCCCACCAACAGTGTAAAAGTGTTCCTGTTTCTCCACATCCTCTCCAGCATCTGTTGTCTCCTGATTTTTTAATGATTGCCATTCTTTTTTTTTTTTTTGAGACGGAGTTTTACTCTTGTTACCCAGGCTGGAGTGCAATGGTGCGATCTCGGCTCACCGCAACCTCCGCCTCCTGGGTTCAGGCAATTCTCCTGCCTCAGCTTCCTGAGTAGCTGGGATTACAGGCACGCACCACCATGCCCAGCTAATTTTTTGTATTTTTAGTAGAGACGGGGTTTCACCATGTTGGCCAGGATGGTCTCGATCTCTTGACATCATGATCCACCCTCCTTGGCCTCCCAAAGTGCTGGGATTACAGGCTTGAGCCACCGTGCCCGGCTAATGATTGCCATTCTAACTGGAGTGAGATGGTATCTCAATGTGGTTTTGATTTGCATTTCCCTAATGACCAATGATGATGAGCATTTTTTCATATGTTTGTTGGCCTCATGTATGTCTTTTTTTGAAAAGTATCTGTTCATGTCCTTCGCCCACTTTTGAATGGGTTTGTTTGTTTTTTTCTTGTAAATCTGTTTTAGTTCTTTTTTTTTTTTTTTTTTTTTTTTTGAGATGGAGTATCGCTCTTGTTACCCAGGCTGGAGTGCAATGGCGCGATCTCGGCTCACCGCAACCTCCGCCTCCTGGGTTCAGGCAATTCTCCTGCCTCAGCCTCCTGAGTAGCTGGGATTACAGGCACGTGCCACCATGCCCAGCTAATTTTTTGTATTTTTAGTAGAGACGGGGTTTCACCATGTTGACCAGGATGGTCTCGATCTCTTGACCTCGTGATCCACCCGCCTCGGCCTCCCAAAGTGCTGGGATTACATGTTTTAGTTCTTTTTAGATTCTGGATATTAGCCCTTTGTCAGATGGGTAGATTGCAAACATTTTTTCCCATTCTGTTGGTTGCTGGTTCACTCTAATGATTGTTTCTTTTGCTGTGCATAAGCTCTGGCTGGAGTTTAATTAGATCCCATTTGTCTGTTTTGGCTTTTGTTGCCAATGCTTTCGGTGTTTTAGTCATGAAGTCCTTGCCTATGCTTATGTCCTGGATGGTTTTGCCTACGTTTTCTTCTAGGGTTTTTATGGTGTTAGGTCTTATTTTTAAGTCTTTAATCTATCTGGAGTTAATTTTAGTGTAAGGTGTCAGGAAGGGGTCCAGTTTCTGCTTTCTGCACATGTCTAGCCAGTTTTCCCAAGACTATTTATTAAACAGGGAATCCTTTCCCATTGCTTGTTTTCGTGAGGTTTGTCAAGGAACAGATGGTTGTAGATGTGTGGCGTTGCCTTTGAGGCCTCTGTTCTGTTCCATTGGTCTATATTGCTGTTTTGGTACCAGTCCCATGCTGCTTTGATAACTGTAGCCTTGTAGTATAGTTTGAAGTCAGGTAGTGTGATGCCTTCAGCTTTGTTCTTTTTGCTGAGAATTGACTTGGCTATGCAGGCTCTCTTTTGGTTCCATATGAAGTTTAAGGTGTTTTTTTCCGGTTCTGTGAGGAGGGTCATAGGTAGCTTGATGAGCATAGTGTTGAATCTATAAATTACTTTGGGGCAGTATGGCCATTTTCATGATATTGATTCTTCCTAACCATGAGCATGGAATGTTATTCCATCTGTTTGTGTCCTCTCTTATTTCCTTGAGCAATGGTTTGTAGTTCTCCTTGAAGAGATCCTTTACATCCTTTGTTAGCTGTATTCCTAGGTATTTCATTCTCTTTATCGCAGTTGTGGATGGCAGTTTGTTCTTGATTTGCCTCTATTTAAGTCTGTTGTTGGTGTATAGGAATGCTTGTGATTTCTGCACATTGATTTTGTGTCCTGAGACTTTGCTGAAGTTGCTTATCAGTTTCAGGAGATTTTGGGCTGAGACGATGGGGTCTTCTAAATATACAGTCATGTCATCTGCAAATTGACTTCCTCCTTTCCTAATTGAATACTCTTTATTTCTTTTTCTTGCCTGATTGTTCTGGCTAGAACTTCCAATACTATATTGAGTTAGGAGTGGTGAGAGAGGGCATCCTTGTCTGGTGCCAGATTTCAAAGGGAATGCTTCCAGTTTTTGCCCATTCAGTATGATACTGGCTGTGGGTTTGTCATACATAGCTTTTAATATTTTGAGATATGTTCTGTCAGTACCTAGTTTATTGAGAGTTTTTAGCATAAAGGGCTGTTGAATTTTGTCAAAGGCCTTCTCTGTATCTATTGAGATGATCATGTGGTTTTTGTCTTTG